TACATCCCATATGCGCACGGTGCAATCCTCAGAGCCAGACACAATCTGCTTGCCATCTGGTGAGAATGCAACTGCATTGACCAAGCTAGTGTGGCCTTCAAATGGGGCACCAACTGCATCTCCAGTTGCTACATCCCATATGCGCACAGTGTGATCATAAGAGCCAGACACAATCTGCTTGCCATCTGGTGAGAATGCAACTGACTTGACCCCATGAGTGTGGCCTTCAAGTACACCTATGGTAGCTGGCCATTTCTTCATCTGTCCTCTTGTGATTGATAACAATTTAGGAAATTGCAGCTCAAACCTCTTTCTAACAACTGACTCCTCCGGTGCCAATGGCAAAGCTGAGATATAGATATGTGGAGCACTTTGAATAATAGCAGGGCCAAAAAAAGATATGAATCTCTGTGCATCTTGAGCAAATGGCACATCTGACTCATCCTAATGGTCTGTTAGTCCTAACATCATTTCCATTGAATAGATATCCAAACCTGTGTCCATGAAATAAAATATGACAAAGCTCGGGGCGCATTCCTCACCATTCCCAGTAGGCTCAAGACCTCAAGCCAAAAGAGGAACTTTTCCACAAGGAATTTCTTCACAGCCTCTGAAATCCTGGAACTAAAGGATATCCCTTTAAGATGATCTGCCCAAAAGTGGCATGAATATTGCAGGTGGCTGGGAATATAGGTGTCTACTTTGCTCTTGATATCAGGCATGGCAGTATTACGCAAACATGATGTAGGTAGCTTGCAGATGTTGAATTCCAGTTTATTTTGCATCACCTGCATCAAGTCCAAAATGGTATCGTGTTGCTGTTTCTCAGTGCCACAGAGGAGGTTTGGCCTTCTTTCTTGAATTCTAGATGTCATATATTCTCGGAAAGAGAGATGCATAATCTGGATTGTGCCTTCATTTGTATCTGGGATTCGGATAATGGCACTAAGAGGGATCAAAATCCTTCTGATATCTTCCTCATCCATCTGTAGTAGTTCCCCCAGACTATATAGGTTGAAAGGCTCAAAGAGATTCAGGATTGTACCCAAAATCCTTTTAGCAATGTTATAAAACTCCTCATCACGTTTGTCACCTCCCATTGGCTCAGGAATGGTTTCATTGATGATATGAAGATAAAGATCATCTAAGTGCTTGAGTGGTTCTCCCTGGTGGAGAAGGAGGTCAAGAGACCTCTGTGGATGTGCCTTTTGCAGTCCTCCGATGACATAGCGAACCACAGTGGCAGCAAAGATAAAGAGCCCAGCTGCACGTGTAGTTATCAAGTTCACATCCTCAGCCTTGGGCTTCCACTTGTTCTGTGGCATCCAGGTCTTCCCATCCAATGACCTCTCAACATAGAGCTGGATGTCATGATCAACAATGGTAGATTCAACATTATCCAGAATGATTGAGTGCATTCTTGAAGAAAGTAAATCAAATTTGATGAATGATGGAACCTCTGGCCGTCCAGTAAGGAAGAACTTAATATGAGCTGGTATCTGATTGATACTTTCTGAGAGCCATTTGAGAAAGCTGTGGCCATGATTCTTTCCACATTCATCTAGAGCATCCAGACAAATCACCCAAGGAGTTTGAGAAGATGGCATCTGTGCAAGAAGCTCTACAACTAGTTTTTGAAACTGCTGCTTTGGATCTGCAAAAAGGATCCTAGTATGATCCTGTTCCAAGAAGTTAACAAGACAAGTTTCAAAGTCACTGCTATAGTCTGCCAGCTGGAGTGCAAGAGTAGTAGAAACAAAGTCAAGTTCTCTGCGTTCTGCATAGTGCCGAGAAAAGAAGAATGAAGCAGCTAAGGTATGTTTTTCCTCAGCTAGAGTTTGTGCCACAGTCTTTGCAATGGTTGATTTTCCTGAGCCTGCAGAACCAGAGAGCATAACTATCTGATCTGGAGAGCTGGTTAAGCGTGCTACAAGATCCTTGAGGATATCAACTCGTGTGCCTTCCATGCATTTATCTGGGGTATTTGCTGCATTATATTGTGCCGGAATATACCTAAGGTCTGCAAGAATCGCCTTTTTGTGCACCTTGTCAACTTAGTAAATCCAAAGTTAATAAGTTAAAGCCCATCAAGCATAGGACCTAAAGATATTCACCTTGTACTAGCATGTCTCCAACCAATTTCTCAATAGAGATAGTGCCATAGAACTACAAATGATTAGATTGCACAATTTTAAGAGGCAACTATTTAGTATGCTCACAGTGAAGTCTTGGATGCAGGATATTACTGAGTTCTGAATACCCTGGATCTCTTCTTTGTCTGCTTTGCTATTTAGGAACTGCATCAATCCACGTTTTTTGGTGAGCTGAGTGCAATTATCAGCAATCAAACAAAGTTTCCTGTGTGTTGACAAAAATCAACAAGTCGTGAATATAATTTTGTTGCAGCAACACACACTGTCAAATTCTCCAACCGCTCCTTTAACTCGCCTCCCATGCCTGAACATTTGATGCCAACCAGTGCCTTCAGACGCTTCTCGAGCTTGAGTAGATCTTCTTTGTTTGCTCGCATGGTCTGTCGATCGACTTAGCATTCCAGAGTGTAGTGATCTTTGAGGTTTCCTCACTGAAACCATCTCTGCAAGCTCTACGACACCACTGAAAACACCCTCAACCCCCGGAATACCAATGCCAGTTACACCTGCCCTGCCGAGACTGAGTGCCGGTTTTAGGAGACTGTGTGCTTTAGTGTTGAGCAAGTTCGGTTCAGAAATAGGTTCGAACCTGAACCGAACCGAACTGAACACGAGGTTCAGGTTCAAGGTTCAGTAAATTGCTGAACCTGAACCGAAATTCAGGTTCGGCGTTCGGGCTGGAGGCAATTTCCCGAACGCGTTCGAACGCCGAACCGCAATGATGCATTTGGGGCCCACTCGGCGAGGGTTTTCAGCCGGTTTCCGGGATAAATCTAGGGTCTTGTACCCTCCTTTCCTAGTACACCTTTTTTTGAGCAAATTCAATGTTGCTTTATCATTTTTTCGACTCCTCCGAGGCAAGTCTTCCCTCACGTGATCGATCAAATCAATGCTGAGTACGAATTTTCCGCGCTAAACACTCTATAGACCCCCAAAGGTGGTATGCTAGCTTTTGTAATAAAGATACGAGCACCACATACCATTTCTAATTTTCCATGGCTCGTAAGACAGTGTTTTTAGACGTGGGAAAATTATTCGGGTTCGAACGCGTTCGAACGCCGAACTGAACTGAACCTGGCGTTCAGGTTCGCGGTTCAGCACATGCCTGAACCGCAGGCGGGGTTCAGGTTCGGCGTTCGGGGAAAAGTGCCCCGAACCTGAACCGAACCGAACCGTCCCAACACTAGTGTGCTTGCTTGAGGGCACTGAGTGCCTGCTTGTGTTTACTTTCTGTCCCTGGGAGTACAGGGGTTGGAGCTCTCGAACGCAGAACTGGGGCCATCGATGGAGCGCAGCGGGGGATGTGAGTGAGGAACACGAGGCGTTGCCAATATTAGCATTCGCTCCCACACAATGTGACACATGGTCCCATGATCAGCAACAAGCGTTCGCCGGCGCTTCCCACTTGCCAACATTTCTTCTGATTATTACTGCAGTGAAATGCGCGAATTGTGATCCCCGGGGTGATTGGCGTTGTGATTGATTGTTGCGACAACTGTCGGCAGGCCAGACGAGGACTCGGAACCCTAAGAACAACATCATGGATTTTACGTCCTCGCCAATCGTCGCTGACGCTCAGGCGGGCTTTGGGAAGTGGCCCACCGACTGCCGAAGCCGGTTGCGATGCGGAAAGCAAGCTAAGTTACTACGGCAACTGAAGATGTGTGTCTGCCCCATTGGGAGGTGTCTGCCCCTTGACACCCGCGGCTGAGAATACCGTAAGTGTACTGCTTACTCCATCAGTAACGGCGGCAAGCGCCGGTCCCCTACTCTGCTGGGTTGTAAGACATCTTTTCATTCTGCTGAAGGTTTTGAATCCATTCTTCTTCGCGGGTTCAACCACTTTTTTACTCTATTCCGGACTGACTGCAGTCAATAAGAGTGACTTCATTTTATATCCTGATTTTGTGCTCGGATTTAATTATTTACTCCGTCCTGGATCGACTCACAATGCCCTACACTACTCCTACAATGCCACGACATCGAAACACGGAAGCGGCGATCGATGAAACATATTCAAATGGAGAACCGGCGCCGGATGCGGCAACATAAGAGAGAAGCGCAACCATAAACGGCAAGGGGTAGCGCACAGACGGCACAGTGACAGACAGTGACGCGAACGGGGTGCGCGGGTGTGTGGCGGCGATCTCAGAACGCACGGAGCTAGAAGGCCCCCGGTCACTACGTACAAGCTCGGTCCGGAATAGAGTAAAATAGGGGGCGAAATTTTGGTTTTTTCGCTCCGGGATATAGAGTAAAATAAGCTCAAACCGACGGATCTTGGTCCGGGATAGAATAAAATAGGGCGGAGCCTGAGATTTTTTCCTTCCCCAAGGGAACTTTCTGGCCCCCGAAGCGAGTTATTTTTCGTTGTTTTGGCTTCGACCTCGCGAGCAAGCCCGTAGGAGGACGCGTCTCAGATAGAGGAACACGGGGAGGCAGCGCGAAGGGCGCTAGAGGGTAGGGAGCGCGAAAAAACTTAAAAACTAGGCGTGGGGGGGAAAAATCGGTCCGCCATAGAGTAAAATAGGCCTTAGAAAGCCAAATTTCTTAGAGTAAAATAGCGAAAAATTCCGGAAAAATGCGGACCGAGTTAGTAGGTAGTGACCGGGGGCCTGAGCTAGAGTATGTATACATTTGATGCCGGCACTCGAGACGGGTGCGAGGGTGGGGCAGCAGAGGACCCCGAATAATAGACCAATATCCCTTTACAGATTCGGGCAAAATTGGCCCGATTTTGCCCAAACAGCCACTTCAAATTCGGGCATCCTGGCCCGCCGCAGGTGGAGCCCTTTACAAAATTCGGGCATTTGGGTAGTCTAGGACCCGTCAGGCTAGGTGTTTGTAGGCTCTCTGGCTCAGTTGGAAGCGTGGTTGATGCTCAGGAGTTATGCACGTATTCAAGCGGTCCTGTGTTCAATACACGTGGTAGCCACTCTTTTGAGAGTTTTTTTAGTCCAAACAGCTGCCACGATGTCACTGTCAATCAGCTTCTGATCAACCAGCTGCCTGTTGCGTCTAACCATTGCTAACCAAATGCAATCTTTATTTGACACTGACCCTACTAACCACTGCACGAATACACGACACGACCAGCGCTCGACGACCTCCGATACTAATATAGTTATGCTGATGCCATCTGTGATCCGCTTTTTTTTCGTCTCTGCTGCCTGGCGACATGGACACCACACCCGCCGAAGTATCCTTTCAGGCCTCAGACTGGATTGGTCAGGGTAAGCAGTACAAGGATGTCCCGATGACAGTTTCTGCAGCTTTCCTGCGCCAGCTTGCTCCCCCGGACGACATTCTTGCCCTGCATCCTGCTCGCACTCTCGGCGTCATGGATGTCCTGAAGATGCACTTCCCGGAGGTGTCTCCCGCCCTCACCTCACCAAATGCCGATACCTGGTTCTATGTGTCGTGTCGCCCCCGGGCAACGTCTCCAGCGATAAAATCTGGCAATTTCTTACCAAACATCCCCTGCCTCCCAAGGGTGCTTTGCAGCGCCTTCGAGACGCTGCAAGTCAGCACTGGTTGGATGGCGCACAATCCATCCGAGACCCACGGCAAAGGGCAGAGCTCTTTCTCCCCCTCTGGGCAATCTCAGTGCTCGAGGATTTGACCAAGATAGCAAACATCCGGGAGCAATGGAAGGCCGCACGCTGGGCGTTAAACCAATCTCTTGGCCATGCAACTGCGCTCTCGCGGGTGTTTTCTTCTGCTCAAATGGTGTTGGGTGATGTCGGGTGGAATGTAGATACCCAGCACGGCAACTGGGTATTCCCGACATATACATTTGCACCGCTGCTCAAAGCGGCGATGCTCACAGATGATGTGACGCAGTGCATAGTCAACTACTTGCCAAAACGGCTCGCCGAAAACCCAGTCGCTTCATTTGCGCATTACTTGGCACCATCACGCGCATATAATCTCCTCGAAAACATCGCCAAAAAGAAAAGTCTACTCACGGGCCGTCTTCGATCCATTCTCCAGGTAGTGGAGGATGCAGTCAACCAGAACCCGGAAGTTCAAGTTTGGTTTCCAGTTTTTCGTCCACCGACAGACAGTGGACATCAGCAGATCCTTCGAGTGAATTTCGGGACCTCGAGGATTGCCTACGGTACGAAAGTGATTTTGAGCATATGCAGACATATTCTGACTCAAAAACCCAGGTGATTCGTTGCCAAGTTGGAGCCCTCCGACTGCGGTCTTGAGAGGCGTTCAGATGTGGTTGAAGAATCGATTCCCAAACCGCAAGTTCAGCTCTGGGGGGCGAACAATTGTGTGCGGTGTTCAGGAGGATGGGGTATCGTGTATCCCGGCATCTTTGAACGCATTTGCCGCCGCCGCGCTGGGTGACGGGCTGTGGACACCAGAAACCCGCGAACTAATTCGCGTGCAACTTTTCCGGCGGCTTGTTTGCGATGCAGTGAGCTTTTTTTTGTACTTAAAGCTACAACTATTTTCTAACGTTACTGAGAAGATCGTTGTTCTATCCCAGCCTGAGGAGACGCCATACGGCCCCCCCTCGACTGTCCCTTCGCGAGATCCTCAACGATCCTGATCCCGAGGACGCTGCCATTGAAGACGCCTTTGACGCGGCGGAATGTCCCTCTGACACCAACGACGACGACGAATCTCACATGGACGTCAACGAGCCGCAACAAAGCGAGCATTAAACAGGCTGGGCGACCTTGATGAAGCGGAAGCGATCAACAAGCCCGCCTGCCAGTGTAAATTCAAACAAGAAGCGTAAGGAGCTCACTGGCGGGCCAGTAGGTTTGGCAGCGTCTTCACGCTCTGACGCTCGCGCCAAGGCAAACGTTGCAGAGTTCGGGTCGGACCCGGCCAGGCAAAAAAAGTTCGAAAGGAGTATTCACGTTGAAGATCTTGCCGCCAAAATCGACGGGCACTATGTCGCGTGTTCACGCTGCAAGACCAACGTCACCTGTGAACTTTATCGAACCAGACGCTTCACAGACCATCGACAGACTGCCAAGTGCAAGAACGCTCCGCCGCCGCCGCCGCCGAACCAGCTTGCAAAATGTTGGAACTATTGCATCCGAACATGACTCGGATCATGTGACTCACATCACGTGAGGTCCAGACCTTGCTTCTGGAACTCAAACCAGCACTTGGGTATAAGCTAGAAGTCTTCTTGTTCCAGTCTTGACCCAGACTGACCCAGACCTTGGGTTCTTGACTTCTATTTCCCATACTGACTTCTATTTCCCATGCTGTGTGTTCTTTTCTCTCAGGATGTGTTCTAATCCCACAGGTGCTAAATTTGCTATCTCTTATCTTTTGTAAAGACCCCAAGGACCCTATTTGCTTATGTTTCTGTGGCTATGCCCCTCTGTAGTATATAAGTAGGAGCATTTTGACTGAATAAATGTAGCCTTGAGTTTGATCCCCAGTTTTAATTTTGTTCAACAGGTTATGGGCCCCGCCCCTCTCTAATCCCATACCAACTATTGATCTACCTCCACACCTCTCTGCACTATGACTTCTATCTATCCTCCCTCTGCACTGCCTTACACTTGGACAACAGGCAATGGTTTTGCTACCTTTGCCAAGCTCAACAAGGACAACTATAGGCCATGGAGCAAGCACATGACTGATACTCTACGTTCCCACCAGCAGTATGGACTGGTGGATGGCACTGAGCTTGGACCAGTGCCAGTGGATGCCAACAACCTCACCAGGGATGAGATGTTGGAGAAGGCAGCATGGGAGGTGCGCAAGACTAAAGCATATCTGGAAATTTCTTTGCGCGTGGAGGCAGAGGTTCAGCAGGTAATCATTGGCACATCTGACCCAAAGGAAGCATGGGACGCACTTGAACAGGCCTATGGAAATACAGATGTTGCAATGCAGGTCGTCTTGCTGGACAAGTTCAACAACATGTCTTGGTCCGAGTCAACTACCTTCATTCAGGACCACTACAACAAACTGGATACACTTCGCATGAAGCTTGCAGAGTGTGGACGAAGGCTCGATGATAGCGAGTTCATTGGCTATCTCCTCAAGTCACTCCCGGACAAGTATGACCAGTTTACACTGACGGTCAAACTTGGAGTCGACAAACCAATCAAAGTGCTGTCCCGTATTCGACAGCTGGAGATTCGTCGCATTGCACGCAGCAAAGGACCCACCGAGGAGCCTGCGACGGGCACAGCGCTTGCAGTACGCAGGCGCGGCGGTGGACGTGGACGCAGTCATGGTCGTGGACGCGGTCGCGGACGTGCGCAAGGCAGCAATTCGGGTAGTGGAAGCAACTCAAATGAAGAACTGTCAAATGTTCAGTGCTACAGCTGCGACGGCTGGGGGCACTATGCTCGTGCTTGTCCGAGCAAGAAGAAAAGCCGCAAGGGAAGCGGTGGAAAGGGTGGCAATGACAACAAGAGTAGCGGTGATGGTAACAGCGGTGGCAATGGCAACACTACAACAGCAGGGAAGCCAACGGGCCGTATGTTCACAGCAATGGTTGCGCGTGGGACTCCACAACCTCAGCTCACCCGCTATTATATCGACTCCGGCGCCTCAAATCACTTCACATTTGACGCCTCCGATCTACAGGACTTACAATGTTATGAGAAGCCGCATGCTATCAAGATCGGTAAAGGCCAGGTATACGCACAAGGACATGGCACGCTAGCCTACACTGCACGGCTGGTCGATGGAACTGAGGCCCAGGGGCGCCTCGCAGGAGTGCAGTGGTGCCCCGAGCTGGAGGCACGCCTCATCTCCTATGGCATCATGATTGATGCTGGATTTGTCATCGCATCGACATGCGACGGCTTTGCGATCACTGGCCGCGACGGCCAATCGAAAGTCTTTGTGCCGAAGGTCGACCAGGTCTATCCGTGGGATATCCAGATCTCACAGGAGACATGCAGCACTGCAAGAACTGCAGTACAGGCGGTTAGCTTTGTTGCGCGTGAAGCCACACTGGCGCCTACCAAGAACACGGACGAGATCGCACTTGCGGCAGCAGCGAAGAAGGAATTTGGGTGGATGGACTTCCACCGTTCCATGGGTCACCTGAATATGCGAGACTGCCAGCGACTTGCTAGAGGTGCAGCAGTGGGCACACGCCTCACTGAACCAACCCAGGCACTGCCGGAGTGGACCGACTGCAAAGCGTGCATCAGCGGGAAGCAAACACGCCGTCCGTACCTATCTGGACGAGAGCGCGCACAAGGCGTGCTGGACTTGATCCATGTTGACATTGTGGGACCAATGGAGACACAGTCATACGACAAGAAGCATTACAGCTTGACACTTGTCGACGATCGCTCGCGGGTAGTATCGGCTATCCCGCTATGGACACGCGACGAAACACTCATTGCATTCCGTGACTGGAAGGGCAAGGTGGAACTTAGCACAGGCCGGAAGGTTCGAGCTCTAATGGTCGACAATGCACCGGAGTTCACCAAGGGACAACTCAAAGCATACCTTGATGCACAGGGTATCCAGATCCACACCACTGTTCCTTACCATCCAGAGCAGAATGGTGTGGGCGAGCGCATGAACCGCACCATTGTCGAAGGTGGACGTGCAATGCTGATTGATGCAAAACTTCCAAAGAAGTATTGGTCACTATCATTCCAAGCAATGGCATACCTCCGGAACCGCTCACCGACCCGCGCAAATGACTACCAGACACCATACGAGGTGTTCTATGGCGAGAAGCCAAACCTTGCGCATATTCATCCTTTTGGGTGTGAAGTGAGTGTGCACATTCCCCAGGAGAAGCGCAAGAAACTCGATGCAAAGTCCTGGACTGGACGACTTGTTGGATATCTGCCATATGACAAGGGCTATCGTGTGCTCGATGCATCGGGCACCGTGCGCGACGCAACGGACATCATATTTGATGATGACTCCCTTGGCCCTGCAGATCCTGCATCAACAGTTGATGAAGACAGTGAA